AGGAGATCGAGACCATCCTGGCTAACATGGTGAAACCGCGTCTCTACTAAAAATACAAAAAATTAGCCGGGCATGGTGGTGCGCGCCTGTAGTCCCAGCTATAAAATAAAATTAAATTAAATTAAAATAAAATAAAATAAAATAAAATAAAATAAACAGGATCTCATAAAGCACTAAGGAAAGCTAGTATCAAACATACTAATACTTTCTCTCCTTCCTTCATCCTCTTTCACAGCTGTCTCCTTCTTCTGATGGTCCTGAGCAATCTGACTGGAATTCTCTTTGTCACTTGATGGAGAATCACAAGCACCATCCGATTTCTTCTCAGTGGCCTCTTCATCCACTTTCTCCAAAGGATGAATCTTCACAATCTTCACCTTGAGCATTTTCTCCTTCCCAACCTATAAAGGAGACAGTAGAGAAAATCAGAGATAATAAATAAGAATCAGAAACCTGAAGATATTTAGAATATATCATCCAATATACATGCTCCTCAACTAACAAAAAGTGATTGAACAGTAAAGTACCCAAGTACAATGAACTGTTTCCAACTTTACTTCTGAGACTTCTAGGTTGAAATATGACACCCTAAAACAATGAAATGATCACAATCTAGGTTCATGATTCATGTACTATGCCAATATACAAGGCCAAAGGGCAATCACTGTACCAGCTGCCCTTATTACAAAACTTCAATATCAAAAAGAAGAGGGAAACTCGAAAACACAGAAGTTAGCATTCGCAATACAGAGGAGAAAACAAAACTGAAGTATCAACAACTTGTGGTGGACCAACTACAATGACACTCTCAGAAGTTTGCTTCAAACCATATTAAGAAAGTACCTTGAAAACCATCTGCACAGATCCAAAACATCTAGAGACACAAAACAGAATGGGAGACAGACAACATCACATTCTAATGCAAAGTTTGTACTAGTTAAACAGTGAGCTAATATTATTTGATTCTCTAACACTCACGGGGAGGGAGACCAATACACACCAAACACTTGGTGCACCTACATTTTTGGAGGCAACAATAACCGAGTCCAGTCAAATTCTTTATTAATGAAGGCCTCAGAGGCTGAACGGTCTTCCCAGTGAGCCAAATCTCAATTCTTCAACTTTAAAAACATTATTGTCAGAGTCTCCAGGTCCCCAGGATATCACAGTTTCAGGATTTTACCTGCTCCCATGTGAGAGGGACTTAAATTACAGATTATGGAGAGAAGAAAGTGCAATTGACCCTTGAACAGCACAGGGATTAGGGCTCTGACCTCTCCTTCTCTTGCAGGCAAAAATCTGTGTATACAGACAGGCACAGTGGGTCATGCCTGTAATAGCATGAGGCCGAGGCCGCAAGGAGGTCCAGGCTGCAGTAAGCTGTGATCGCAACACTCCACTCCAGCCTGGGGGCAACACAGTAAGACCCTGTCTCAAAAAAAAAGAGGTCAAAGCAGGAGGATCGCTTGAGCTCAGGAGTTCAAGACCAGCCTGAGCAATATACTGAGAACTGATCTCTACAAAACAACAACAACAACAAAAACCCTACAAAAATTAGCTGGGTGGGGTGGTGCATGCCTACAGTCCCAGCTACTTGGGAAGATGAGGCGGGAGGATCGCTTGAGCCAGGAATGTCGAGGCTGCAGTGAGCCATGATCATGCCACTGCACTCCAGCCTGGGTAACAGAGCAAGACCTTATCTATGAAAAGCCAAAAAAGGACAGTAGGACAATTACCAATTTACTAGAGAGATGAACTAGCATCACATAAGATGACTGAGGTCACTGCAACTGCAACAGGTCACTAGGAAATGCTTACAGTAGTATAGTATGTACTACAGTTCATTTTATTTCATTATTATTTAATACTGAATCTTCACATTTCTCTTGACTGAGAAAAGTGCCATGTATGGTCTGTTTGTGTAAGTTTTGATAAATTTTAACTTTTTGTAGTAGACTTCTGTATATATTTTATAGTAGTAAATGATAAAACAGACTAGTATCTACATGTATTTTACGCATTTATGACATATCTAACTTTTTGTTCTTTTTTTCAATCTCTAGGGTACTCAGTTCGTCTCTTGAGTTTCTTCAAACTGTTACAAGCCTCCAAAAAATTTTCCAATACATTCATTGAAAAAATATTGAGAGATGGACAAGAGCCATTAAAAAAAAAAAAGAAAAGAAAAAGAAATATTCCATTTATACGTGGACCTGTGCAGTTCAAACTCAAACGTTGTTCAAGTGTGAGCTGCACCTAAAACCATCACATTGGCTTATGATGCAAAGAGCAAAAAGTATTAAAATTTGCTCTTCCTACCTTGATCACCCCCCAACACATTTCCCATTTCCACTTTAAGACAAAAGGAAAGTACCCATTTCCACTTTAAGTACCCATTTCCACTTTAAGACAAAAGGAAAGTAAACTTTCTTTGCCATCTTGGGTAGCTAGCAATGTGCACACAACTTTTTTTCTTCTTTTTTTTTTTTTGAGATGGAGTTTTGCCCTTGTGGCCCTGCTCTTATGGTCCAGGCTAGAGTGCAATGGTACGATCTCAGCTCCCTGCAAACTCCGCCTCTTCGGTTCAAGAGGTTCTCCTGCCTCAGCTTCCCGAGTAGCTGGGATTACAGGCGTGCGCCAGCACAACCTGCCAATTTTTGTATTTTTAGTAGAGACGGGGTTTCACCATGTTGGCCAGGCTGGTCTCAAACTCCTGACCTTAGATGATTTGCCCTCCTCAGCCTCCCAGTGCTAGGATTACAGGCATGAGCCACCACACCCGGCCCTGCACACAGATTTCTAAGCAACTAGAGGAAACGATTTCCAAATGGTCTTAAATGTTTAGGGAGATTCAAGTCTTGATTCATGTTGTGGACATTTTAGTTGTTCTATGAATCATAAATGAACAAAATCATGTCTACATTAAAAAATCACATTTAGTTGCTAGAGAACCCTAAAAGGTACGTTCGTAATAAAATAAACGCCGGGCGCGGTGGCTCACGCCTGTAATCCCAGCACTTTGGGAGGCCAAGGAGGGTGGATCACGAGGTCAGGAGATCGAGACCATCCCGCCTGGGGCTTACAATGGTGAAACGCCGTTCTCTCCTAAAAATACAAAAATAGCCGGGCTTGTGCGCGCCTGCTAGTCCCAGCCTATAAAATAAAAAAATTAAAATTAAATAAATAAAATAAAATAAAATAAAATAAACAGGATCTCATAAGCCAAGGAAAGCAGTATCAAACATACTAAACTTTCTCTCCTTCCTTCCATCTCTTCACAGCTGTCTCCTCTTCTGAGGTCTGAGCAATCTGACTGGAATTCATCTTCTGTCACTGATGGAGAATCCACAAGCCCATCCGATTCTTCTTCAGTGCCCTCTCATCCACTTTCTCCAAGATGAATCTTCACATTCTTTCACCTTGAGCTTTTCTCCTCGAGCCTATAAAGGAACAGTAGAGAAAAATCAGAGATAATTAAATAAGAATCAGAACCGAAGGATATTAGAATATATCATCCATATACATGCTCCTCAACTAACAAAAGTGATGAACCAGTAAAGTACCCAAGTACAATGAACTGTTCCAACTTTACTTCGGAGACTTCTAGTTGAAATATGAACCCTAAAACAATGAAATGATCACAATCAGGTTCATGATTCATGTACTATGCCAATATACAAGGCCAAAGGGGCCAATCACTGTTTCCAGCCTAAAATATGTGAAACAGTTCAAGTGAGATTAACCATTTTATGTATTATTTTTTATTTATTTTTGAGACACAGTCTCTCTCTGTCGCCCAGGGTGGAGTGCAGTGGTGCGATCTCAGCTCACTGCAACCTCCGCTTCCTGGGTTCAAGCCATTCTCCTGCCTCAGTCTCCCGAGTAGGTAGGGCTACAGGCACACATCACCATGCCAGGCTAATTTTTGTATTTTTTGTAGAGACACGGTTTTGCCATGTTGGCCAGGCTGATCTCGAACTCCTGACCTCAAGTGATCTGCCCATCTCAGCCTCCCAAAGGACTGGGATTACAGGCATGAGACACCGTGCCTGGCCTACACTACAAAAAAAAAAAAAAAAAACTATATATGGATATCCAATTGTTCCAGAACCACTTGTTGAAGTAACACCTTTCTCCACTTAATTACCTTTCCACCTCTGTCAAAAATCAATTGTGTAGGGCCAGGATTACAGGCATGAGCCACCATGCCCGGCCAGGCCCAGGAATTTGAGACTAGCCTGGGCAACACAGGGAGACCCCATCTTTACAAAATAAAATAAAATTAGCCAAGCATGATGGCATGTGCCCATAGTCTTAACTACTGAGGAGACTGAGGCAGGAAGATAGCTTGAGCCCAGTTTTTTTGGGCTGCAGTAAGCTATGACAGTGCCACTACACTCCTGCCTGGGTGACAGGGTGCGACCCCTATCTTGGGGGGCTAGGGGGGTGCGAACCTCTGCTACGTCCTCTTGACAAAATGACTCCTTTTTTCATTAAAAAATGACTTGCTAGTTCTTTATCCCTGGTTACACTCTTTAATCTGAAATCTATCCTCTGATACTTACATAGCCCCTTCAGATTTCTTTTGACTTATGTTAACATGGTATATATTTTTCCATTCTTTCACTTTTATTCTATGTGTCTCTCTCTTATATACACAAAGCAGTACCATTTGGTGTTGCTTTTTCTGCCCAAAATGAGAATTTCTACTGTTTTGTCATTGTTTTAAAGAAACGAGATTTTCGTTATGTTGCCGAGTCTGTCCTTGAACTTCTGGGCTCAAGCAATTCTCTCGCCTCAGCCTCCTAAGTAACTGGGACTACAGGCACACACCATACCTGGTCAATGTCCACCTTTTAACTGAAATGTTTAGACTACTTATGTTTAATATAATTATAGACATATTTATTTGCTTTTCTATTCAGCCTCAACAAAACTAAAAACTGCTCTTCGAAAATACTGTTAAGTAAACAAAAACACTGGCCAGGCATGGTGGCTCACGGCTGTAGTCCCAGCACTTTGGGAGGCCAAGGTGGGTGGACTGCTTGAGCCCAGGAGTTCAAGACCAGCCTGGGTAACATGGTGAAACCTCGTCTCTACAAAAAATACAAAAAAATTTTTCCAAGCGAGGTGGTGCATGCCAGTGATCCCAGCTACTAGGGAGGCTGAGGTAAGAGGGTCACTTGAGCCTGGGATGTCGAAGATGAAGTCAATTATGACTGTGCACCACACTCAAGCTTGGGCAACACAGTGAGACCTTATCTCACAAAATAAAAACAAAAACAAAAAATACAAAGTTTTTCCAATGCTCATTAAGAGTTCAAACCAGGCCGGGCACAGTGGCTCATGCCTGTAATCCTAGCACTTTGGGAGGCCGAGGTGGGTGGGTCACCTGAAGTCA